TTGAATCTACATTTTTACGTTGATATCCATTGACATGTAGTGTTGCTCTTACATAAACAAAGAAAATGAAAGTAAAATGTTCCTTCTAATCTCTGCCAGTACCTAAATTAAAAATGATCCGTTTTATACTAACTTTAATATCTGGCCTAGCAACATGTTGTAATGAGTGAGATATAGATAGATAATAATAGATTGGATTTATATAGCGCTTTTCGAGACCCTCAAAGCGCTTTACAATGCCACTATTCATTCACTCTCACATCCACACACTGGTGGAGGCAGCTACAGTTGTAGCCACAGCTGCCCTGGGACAGACTGACAGAAGCGAGGCTGCCACATCGCGCCATCGGCCCCTCTGGCCAACACCAGTAGGTGGTAGGTGAAGTGTCTTGCCCAAGGACACAACGATCAGAACAGAGTGAGCTGGGGATCAAATCGGTAACTTTGCGGTTACAAGATGAGCTTCCCAACCCCTGAACCACGGCCGCCCAGATAGATAGATCGATACACACTCTATTGATCTCACAAGACAAAGTCCAGCGACAGGATACAGAATAGAAATAGTACAGTTAGTGAGTTAATAGTTAAAGTAAAACCCTCACTTAGTGAGAGACATCTTTTATCAAATATATACAACAGTGAGAAAAAACCCCCTAAAAAATAAGAATGAGGTTAATTTAAAGAAGAGCAAAAAGCTACAATAATACCATACCAATATTTGAATTTACCTGATCTACATCCCGTCTGTCCAGTTCTGGGTTGTGGATGGGGGAGCTGGAGCCTATTCTAGCTGCCATAGGGCAAGAGGTGGGGTACAGACTGGCAGTCTTTTGCAGCGCCAACACAGACAGCCAGACAACCATTCGCGCTCACATTCACAGAGAAATGGGGAGAACACGCACAGGTCCTGGGTGCAAATCTAGCCGCAGCCTTTCCATATAGAGTTTGCATGTTCTCCCCATCTCTTCATTTGGAAAATTTTCACACATATTTGTAATCACTACATTTAAAAGCTAGTTATTAACCACAAACGGATCTTACATGACTCTTAGTGACTCACGAAACAAGGAACACCTTGTTTTAAGACAAAAAATTGGATTTTTTATCTATCATCCAGTCCGTGTTAAGAAAAAAAGGCAAAGGAAGAGTTGAGACTGAGTTAATGTTGAATTTTAGTTACGACTAAGATTTGCTGGTGCAACCCTGAAAGCAAACATATCGTGTCCTTGTAAATACTTCCAGCACAGGTTCCTGCTTGTGTGCATATATTGATATTAACCCAGATACACGCAATAACCGTCTAAAGATGAGGCCTTCTCTTACTGCAGTTTAAATCACTTCTGTATGGCCTGGTAAATGGCCTGTATTTATATAGCCCCAAAGCGCTTTACATATCCAGTCATCCAGCCATTCACGCACACATTCACACACTGGTGATGGCAGCTACATTGTAGCCACAGCCACCCTGGGGCGCACTGACAGAGGCGAGGCTGCCCACCACCAGTAGGCAACGGGTGAAGTGTCTGTATGTTAAAGAAGCGGACGTATGTAGTTTTTTTGTAAATGACCTAAACTTTCTCTCTCCCCTTTGCAGGCAGACAAGCGAGCACATCACAATGCGCTGGAGCGTAAACGCAGGGACCACATTAAAGACAGCTTTCACAGTTTACGAGACTCTGTGCCTGCACTACAAGGGGAGAAGGTGAGGAAACTATCTATATATTGCCATAGACCATTCATATTGTGCCCCAGAATCCAGATCTATGCTCGTCATCTCTCCGTCATGCCTAGAGGAAGGAGGAAATTGTTATTTGTAGAAACAGATGCCTCGCCAAATATTAACGACGTGTCTGATAATGATTCACAAGATCATTCATCTCGTTGGTGGATTTTAACAAGCTTGTAGACACTGCTGTCAAAGCAAGCAGCTCTGTAAACTCTGGCAGCTTTGCCAAATAAATGCTGGATGAAGAGTGATGTTTCTGCTTATGCTGTCCATTTCATATTTAATACTATTCAAGTTCAAAAGGCAGTTAACGTACAGTTGTTGTGTCAACATGGAGATGAGATCATTTTCTCCTCTGTTAAGCCTGATTTGTAGTACTGTGTTGAATCCCAGCTGCTTTATCTTCGTTTGCTTTTAACTTGTACCTGCGCTGGTCTGCCATCACAAGTGAAACTGAAGCTGATAATGCTCAACCTGGAGTTAATAGATATGCAGTGCTATGCAAATCTAAAAGCCACCCCTCATTTCTTTATATTTTGCTAGGAAAATGGGAAATTCTGTCGAAACACGTGCAAACATACATGAAAGTACAGTATGTAAGTTAAAAACAGAGTCTGTACAGTTTTAATGAGCTTGAAAATCACTATGTGGTATGACGGCTTTTATTCTTCAGCACAGCCTGAACTCTCTTAGGCAGCTTTCTTATAGTAGTCTTCAGGAATAGTTCATTGAAAGCTCTTCTCTGGATGTTGGCTTTCTTTTGTTACATTTGCTGTCACGATGATCCAACACTGCTTCAATAATGTTGAGGTCCAGCCTGTGGGGAGGCCAATCCACGACCGAGAGTGTTGTAATTGCGTTGTTTTCTATCCTGACTGAAATGCAGGTCCAAATAATGACAGAGCCTTTACGGATTGCTGCAGCCACTCACTCTTTTACCTCAGATTAATACTGAAGATGATTTAGACCAGAAATTTCTAATTTGAATTGATCACTGCCCACTGCCACTGATTTTCAGTCTGGTTAGTAATCTGTATACTGTGTTAACACTGCATATTTCTAACAAACACAGTCGCTGTTGCTCAAGTTTGCATTGCTGCAAAGTTGTGGCATCAACATTTGTGGTCAGCCTGCGCTGTTGGTTTAATACGGTACTACAAAACAAGCGTTGACCCATCTGCCCGAGGTCGCTGACTCCTGGAATAGTTCTTGTTAACTTCTTATTTGAATCCAGATTAAATTGCAACACACTCTGAACTGTGTATAACAGATTCATGCACTTTATTGGCTGCTTTTTCACACGGGCCTCACAGAATTCTGTTAAACAGGCTTCCCGAGCACAGATTCTAGACAAAGCCACGGAGTACATCCAGTACATGAGACGAAAAAACCACACCCACCAGCAAGATATTGACGATCTAAAGAAGCAGAATGCACTGCTGGAGCAGCAGGGTAAGCGGTGCTCTTGTTAAATAAGTATCGCACATTTTTGTCACGTGGATTCAATCTCAGATGCCGTAAACAACGTTTGTTTCTATCTTTGTGTACGACTTGCAGTTCGTGCACTTGAGAAGGCCAAGGGGAACACTCAGCTCCAGACCAACTACTCTTCCGATAGCAGCTTGTACACAAACCGCAAAGGGAGCGCCGTGTCCGCTTTTGATGGTGGGTCCGACTCCAGCTCTGAATCAGAATCAGACGAGACACCAAACAGGAAGAAGCTGCGCCTGGAGCTAAGCTAGATTTGGGTGGACCCCGGCTCCTTAGACAGACTCTTTTTACCCACCAGCCCCAGCTCCTCTTGCCTGTCCGCACTGAGCCCTGCCTTCTTGCGCTAGCCCAGGAGACGAGGTGGAGATCGTGTGTGAGAGAGGTGCTATTATGTATAAAACGCTTCTACCTTCTTTTATCCTTCTGGCAAGCATCCTGTCACTCCTTTCGTGGCCCAGCAACAAAGTTAAAAATCCCCAAATTGAGGCAGCTCTGCAGATTTGAAGGACTTTATGCCTTTCAGACCTCATAATAACCATTCATATATGTGGAGATGACAAGACTTGAGTAAAGCTACAAAAATAACCTTTCCCTATTGGTTGTTTTGGTCAACCTCTCCAATCCGGTGGAGGTGTGAGACTTTTGACAAACGGTAAGGGTAGGAATACCTTACCTTTTAATAATAATAATATTAATATTTTTCCAGAAAAGAATGTGAAGTTGCTTTTGGAAAAACAAACCCTGTCTGTTATGCAAAATGCAGCCCTCCTTATTCTGTGTAGTTGGCTAAAAGTTTTGTCTTTTGAAATGTTGTGTAATCAAAGAAATCCCTCTATTTATAGTCATGCACCAAGAAGAATTTCTTACCCTTATATCTATATACCTATATAATCTGATGTCTGAACTCCCATTATGTTTGGCTTGATATTTCAAAGTTTCAGCTATTTATTTTCCTCTATTTTTAATATTTTTAAATAAATTGTGGTTAAAAAATCCCCTCATTGATATTGAATGTTGCACAATGCAGTTAAAGGCATTGTCCTTTATTTTTGTCGATGGAAGTTCCTTTTCAGTGTGTGGTATATAACACTGTATACTCTTAAATGGTGTCGTTTCTGCAAAGAAAAGCCTTCCCTTTGATTTGCCTGTGCTGGGAATGTTTCTCTTTTTTTTTGCAGAGATAAATTAGTGTGTACCTTATAAGATTTGTTTGTTCCATTCCATGGAAATTACAGGTATGTTGTACATACTGCCAACGGTTGTCTTGCAAGATAAGGCATACCTTTATTATGAAACTATAAATAAACTATTTTATCCATTTTGGATGAATTTGTGACTCCTGTGTTTTTAATGTAAAAAAAATAGCCTGATTTTTGCACATTAGGCATCCCCAACAGCATCCTTTTTTTGGTGTTAAATGCAGGTTTAGTTAAAGAGCCAGTTAATTCAATAATCTGGCAGGTTTAATAGGATTTGAGAATCAGAATTTGCTGATGGAATTAAGGTAAATGATAAGAAGGATTTGTTGAAACTTTGGTAGAAATAAACCTTTAAATGTTCCTAGATCACAAGGACTGGATTGGCTACACACGGAGATATATGTGTTTGTCTTTTCACTCATATTTAGAGATAAAGTAGAAAATATGAGCATCGAGGAACATATAAACTTTTATTTGCGACATAAAATGACACCAATCATTGTTTAAATATTGAATTTAGACTTGGGCCAGTGTGATGTGTCCTGACGCTCCCTCTACAGGAAACAACGTTCAAAGACGCAGGTTGTGTGCTGCTTTCCAGTGCCGTAGGAAATTGCAGGCGTAACCAAGAACGACATGTAGGATGGTGAAGTACTACTGAAATATTTGAAGGTGATAGTAAAGCACACGACGAACCACAAAAATGTTAGAAAAACGTTCCAAGACATCTGACTTTGTAAAGTGCATCAAGTGGCGCTCTTTGAGTTCAGCGTGAAAGTTTCCGAGGGGCCTTGAACGCATCACCCAAGCAGAGGACAAGCAGCCAGTTTCAAGCGCCGCATCAGACAGGCATGTTTTTTCATCATCGCTTAGTTTTGGGTCATGGCTAAACAGTACGACTTCTTGTTCCGGCTGCTCATGCTCGGAGACTCGGGGGTTGGGAAGACTTGCATGTTGCGCCGGTTCACGGAAAGTGACTTTGACACTACACACATTTCCACCATCGGTAAGCCATCCAACAGGTTTTCAGTGAAGCTTTCTCCAAAACTCATATCAGTTTTTCCCCCACAGGTTGAACCAGTTAAACATCGGGAAATTCTTTTCTCTGGATGAATGTAGATGCAGGGTTTTAACATTCAGAGCATTTTATTTTAGCTTTCCCATTTGTTCAGAATATAAAAGTGGGCCTACTTATAGGATTAAAGGGCCTCAAGTTCAAACAGCCTCACATGGGAAAGTTTGCCTAGAAGGCTTTCTGTTGCCCACGCTAAAGCACAATGAAAGTATAAGATGGAATGTTTTTGCTTAATTAAAGGTTAGACACGTAGAAGAGGTCTGATAAATTACGTCTCTGTCACGAGCGTACTGGAAATGGGAAGGGAGACGACTATTTCTTCTGCTCTCAAATTATTTGATATGCTATCTTATATCTTTTCCCCCTTGATTGGAACTTGCGGATTGATGAGGCCATTAGTGCTTCATATCAGTACTGCCACTTTTCCTGATTGTGTCACATACTAATGAGTTGGAACAAAATGTGGTAGGCCCTGTTTACCTGTTAGACTGTGGAGCATAATCAGGGTCAAGTCACACCAGAAAATGCAGAGTGGAAAGGCTTTACATGGGATTTGGATATTTGGAATAGTGTCTGATGATGAAATCATTGCTAAAAGAAAATCACCAGCCGTGCCTTTAGATCTGCATCAGGCAGTGAAAGAAGCGCTGGAACAAAAGGATACCGATATGCAGGATGAATGGACAGCTTTGCATATATTACATAAACGCAGATTCTTACATGATAAAAGTGAACAATTGCAAAAAGAGGAAAGCCATCCTTAGGGCGAGACAGAAACGGGCTACAGGAGGAGCTCATTCACAGACACTGAAAACAGTGAGATTGGGATTTGATTGTTATGTAAAGTAGGTGCATTTTCAGATTCAGTAGCACCTCGTCGTTTCACTCAAACTGGGCTAGGAAGCTGCATCGCCAACAAAAATGTATTTATGGTCAATGATCATATGAAATGCCTGACAGAAAACTTTTTTATGAGCACAATGTTGGGATTGGATTACACAGAGTTTATTGATTCCACAAAGTGTGGTGGCAGCGTAACGGAAAGAAAAAAACAAAAACTGTTCAGGGTTTAATGTTAAATGTAACAGAGCCAAATATGGAAGGAAACAGAGAACAGATTCCAAGTTGTCCAACTGATCAGAATCACACGTTTCCTTTTTTTCCTGCTCTACTTCTTTCCTATTCTAACTTCAATCATGCCACTAGTGTTAAAAAATCTTATAAATATCCATCACAGGAGCCAAATGAAAGGATCTCTTCAGTCTTTTCATTAATCTTTTCTTGCAAGATATATCGACAGTAGTATAGTCGTCATAGTTGTAGTGTCATGGCTTATTGGCACATTGGACTATAACAGAAACTATTGAATTTGCTAATTTCGGTCATGCTTTAGTTGTCGGGCCAATAACCTCATGCGACTCCAGAATACTTTGGTATACAGAGGAGTTCATGGCCGACTTAATGACTGCAAGGTGCCCAGGTAAAACAAGCCCAAATCATCACCCCTCCACCACCGTGCATGACAGATGGTAAGAGGGGTTCGTGCTGATATGCTGTGTTTGTTTTTTGCCAAATGTAGTGCTGTGCATCATGGCCAAACATCTCCACCTTGGTCTGGTTTGTCCAAAAGACATTGGAGGTGTGATGGTTAGTACGATCTGGGTTCTTGCTGCCTCTTACAGCAAGAATGTCCTGTGTTCAAAGCTACTGGCTGGTTGGTCTCTCTGTTCCTGCAGGGGTTCCTTCCAGGTTCTTTGCCTCCCCCCCACAGTCCAAAAGTTTGGTGATTCCAAACTGGCCCTAGGACGGATGCTAATTTAGGCATGTAGGCGATCGTGGCTCAAGAGTTGGGAGTTCACCTTGTAATCAGAAGGTTGCCGGTTCGAGCCCCGGCTTGGACAGTCTCGGTCGTTGTGTCCTTGAGCAAGACACTTCACCCGTTGCCTACTGGTGGTGGTCAGAGGGCCCGGTGGCGCCAGTGTCCGGCAGCCTCGCCTCTGTCAGTGCCCCAGGGTGGCTGTGGCTACAATGTAGCTGCCATCACCAGTGTGTGGATGTGTGGATGACTGGATGTGTAAAGCGCTTTGGGGTCCTTAGGGACTAGTAAAGCGCTATATAAATACAGGCCATTTACCATTTAGGGTCTGAGATGTAGCTCTAGGGTTGTTGTTTTTTTTTTTGTTTTGTTTTTTTGCCATTTTCTGCCACTGAACTTGGGTTAAACTTACTGTGATGTCTACTTCTGGGATATGCGACAGATCAGCAAACCTTTCATAACTTCTGGCTTTATAGATGTGATGACACTTGTTGATGATCAGTTAAGTACATCTGAGTACACTTCCTCACAGGACTGCAGAGAGTCTTTAACATGACTGTACATAGTGTAGGATCAGAAATGTTTGTCTTTGAGTGGATTTTGGCTTTGCTAGCATGATGAAAACTAAATAAGAAGTAGATTAAAAGAACTAGTTGAATAGAAACCAGCAAAGTTACGTTGCAAACCTTTATTCTGTCTCCTAGCACAGAAATCCCTCAGTGTACACCTGTTTAGATAACAGTATCTCCGAGGAATCCTCAATGAACCTCAGGGACATTTGTTGGCAGTTTGTGATTGTATTTTTGGAGGTTGCATCCCAGCTTACATCTGTATTTGCATTTTCTTTGTTTTGGTCAGGAATTGATTTTAAGATGAAAACACTGGAGGTAGATGGAACCAAGGTGCGAGTACAGATATGGTAAGTGACATTTTTCTTTCATTGCATTCACACTTGCTGCCATGGGTGATTCCCTTTTGCTGATATGTGTTTGGTCCTCCATGCAGGGACACAGCTGGTCAGGAGCGCTATCAGACCATCACCAAACAGTACTACAGGAGGGCGCAAGTATGAGCAGCCAAGAGTAAACTTAGATTTCTGTAACGCAGCTTTGATTCCTTAGTCCTCTTTCCACTTTTTATGCAGGGTGTCATCTTTGTCTACGACGTCACAGACAAGCTGTCCTTTAAGCACATAGCCAAGTGGGTCAGTGATGTGGATGAAGTAAGGCAATAAGCACTCTGTTCGCTGCCCTTCGCAGCTGTCCAGTATTTGTGTTCTGGCTGACTGAACTTTAGCTGCTTGCTAAACAATCAGTGGCTTAGAGTGACTGACAGGATGATGAAGTCCACTATCCCTGTGCTTGACTTCAGTTTTTGTTGTTTTCTTCTAGTATACTACCCAAAAAATGGAGACCATATTGGTAGGAAACAAATGTGATGATTCACTCAGGAGGGAAGTGTCAAAGAACCAAGGAACCAAGGTTTGATTGAGCCTTATTTTCCGCTGTGCTTTAATTAGTATATTATTGATTTTAATTTGGAGATTGTGTTTTAAGTACTCAACATCATAATATACAGACTCCCATATTGTAAGTCAGTCTCCTGGTGGCCTCCAGTTTCTTCCATTAAACTTCCTTAAACTTGATGATGATTACTGTAATACCTGCGCTGGAAAGCTTTGTGTGTTTCATAAATGTCACTTAAGCTGCCAGATCAGCTCGAAACACAGTCTACACAAACAATCCACACACTGCATACAAATTCAACCTGTCTGTCGGGCAACTTGGCAGCTCGATTCGAGAAGTGTGCGCACAACTATCTCTGTGCTGGCAGGCTCTTAGTTGTTTCTATTGCTCAGACAGCCTCAGGCCTTTTTACCACAAAGACACGGTGAAGACTTGAAAACACTCCCAAATAAAATCCGGACGGTTGTACAGATCATGTGTGTGATGAGTAGTTGTTCATGTTGTAGAAACACCAATATGAACTCTTTCTGACCCTGTTAAATTAGACGATGAATTACAGCCAAATGTCATTCATCAGAATGAACGTTCCTCCGAGCTCTTCACACAGACCAGGACCATCTAGATACTAAATACTACAAAATATTCAGTTATACTAGACTCAGTCGCTGCTCTCATGTTGGGAATAATGTTGACTTTATTTTTGAGGTTTTAAAAAAACACTTTTGCATATTTGAGAAGAACTTTTATTGAGAAAATATGCAATATGGTTCTGGCATAACTTATTTCAGGGAGAAAAGGCTTTTAGAGGCACTACTATCAAAGTCCCAGCTTCCAAAAACTAATGGCTGATACCAGCATGTCTCTTAAAATAGAATACTGTTCAACTGGTTAGGCTGAGACAGACAAACGCTTCCTCCCACGTTTAAAACATTTAGTGAAATCTTTTTAAAAATCATATCGCTAAATAAGATAAACTTTTTATAAACCTCTTACTGCATGTTATAATATTAACACAGCACACAGCAAAGCCTGAAGGATACACCTACATCCATGCAAGTGCATAATATGTATAAATCTTCACACTGCTGACACCCTGTGCTGTTTAATCAGTATTATTGTGCCAGAGTATCGCCTTTGCATTTAATTGATTTTTTAAAATTATATTTATATAGTTTTGGAGAAAAAAGGTATAAAATACTTTTATTATTTCTAAAAATATGCGCTTCAATTGTCTGTAGTTAGCAGGATCCTATGGGATGGAGTTCTTTGAAACCAGTGCCTCCAAGAATATCAACATCAGTGAGGTAGTGGATTTTCTTGGCAACATTTTTTTCTGGGTAATTCCCCGCCGCATTCTTTTGTTTTCTTTCTTCCTTCTTCCTCCAGTCATTCGAACGTCTGACAGAACTCGTGCTACAGGCTCACAAGAGGGACGTGGACAACCTGTTGGGATCTCTGGACAGCTATCTGGATAAGGCAGGTCTGGAGGAAGACAAAGAGAGCACAGTCCCTCACCTTCCTCAGAGGAGCTGCGCCTGTTAGAAACAAGATGGCCATCATGGTGCCACAGCTTATAGTTGAAGGCGCTCTGACTTGATTCGGTCCCCCTCTGCCCTCTTTGTGGATGCTGTGACTTGTTGGCCCAGGGGTTTAATGAATGGGTTTCACTTTTTGCAAGTTTTTTTTTTTTTATCACACTGTGTTAAATGCATTTAGAAGCAGCTACCAGCAGAGGGCCAATTTTGTTCCATGATCGCTGAATCTTAAAGCTGCTGAGGTTCCCGGAGAACACGGTTTTGTGTAATAAAACTATCCATACCCACAATTTCCTCCTTTAAAATACAGGTTTGCACCGAGCAGCTGCTTCGTCACTTGTTCTTCATATTTTGTTAATATATATTTTTTTAAAATTGAATAATTTGGTTGGTGCTGTAGATGAATTGTGGATTCAAATCAACAATCGTTTATTTGAGGAGGGCGGAGGAAGAGGATGGAGGCAATGACGAAGAAGCCGGAGGACAGAGCTGAATTTTTTACACCTCGAAATTCAAACCCAGCAGGGGTGGAGTTATTTACATAATTTACTATCCTCCTTTGACGGAGACTCTGTCGTGCCATGTTCGAAGACCTTGAATGCTTGCTCATGCATTATCATCACGAATGTGTGCATTTGCGTTACAAATGTGATTGGCATTGTGTGCTAAAGGAGTGTTACCGCTCTTTGAAGTAATGTACTCAGGCTCTGCCAAGTTGCCACTTGTATGTAATTTTTTTTAAATGATATGTGCAGGTTGTTACAAAAAAAAATAACAAAACCACTGTACGGGTTAATAAATTAAAGTTTTCATATTAAAGCTAATGAGATGTGTCGGGACCTTGCTGAGTCATTACATTAGAATGCAAGGAGTGAAGTCCTGAAAGAGTTCAGACAGATTCATTCATTTTTAATCACCCTCCGTGAAAGACGGGGGATCATGTTAAATTTTTGATGACAGAGAAAACTGATACATGTTACAGAGATGCCGTAAAGTAGGAAGTACGTGCAAGTTTTATCCCTAAAACACTCTTTGAGAATATAATTACATTCACTTCAAGAAAGTCAGTTTACTTGATAAAACTTTAAAAATCCTGATAAGAAGACAATTATTTACGTTAATCTATTTCGGACTTCTTCAGAGTATAGGATGGCAGATGGAGATCACTTTCCCGCAGGGCCATTTGATCCTTGTCAAAGGCAACTTTCTGCCCTAAATGAATCAGGTGACCAAGCGCTTGGATACAGGCAGCTCGAGATCCCCTCTGCCTCCACTGTGGCAGAACCAGAGGACGAGATGACGTTCATCGCGAAGACTTTCTACGACCTGAGGGCCACCACGCTGGAGGGAGACTCTGTGGACTTCAACGTCTTCAGAGGACGGGTGGTCCTCATAGAGAATGTGGCCTCGCTCTGAGGAACCACCACCCGGGACTTCAGCGAGCTCAACCAGCTGCAGAGCAAGTACCCCCATCGGCTGGTGGTCCTGGGTTTTCCTTGCAATCAGTTTGGCTATCAGGTGAGTTCAGCAGCAGAGTTTGAAGTCACTTAAAAACCTCTCAAATGTATTACTTAATGTACCAGTTCTGTGTTATTGTTGTTGTCACAGACATTTTCCTTTTCCCAATCCTACCTGGGTCTGGTTTGAGTTAAAGTCTGACTTGTATTATTGGCATTAGTGTATTTCCTCTTTCCTAAAGCAAGTTACAGGAATTGCATCATTTAATAGTGTGCAAACTGTATCTGGTACTGATGGTTTGATACTGAAGTAGGATTTTAATAATCTTCGCTATCATAGTGAAACCAATGAATGCTTGTGCTCTGCAGGAGAACTGCACCAATGGTGAAATCCTGAATTCACTGCAGCACGTGCGTCCAGGTGGAGGCTTCAAGCCCATCTTTACCATCTTCGAGAAGTGTGACGTCAATGGAACAAATACCCACCCAGTTTTTGCCTATCTGAAAGACAAACTCCCCTATCCCGATGACGACCCAAATTCTCTCATTCAGGACCCCAAATTTCTGGTTTGGAGCCCCATCAGCAGGACGGATATCTCCTGGAACTTTGAGAAATTCCTCATTGGGCCAGAGGGAGAACCCTTTAAGCGATACAGCAAAAAATTCCCCACCATTGACATAGAGCCTGACATTCAAAGACTGCTAAGATTAACTAAGACCTAAGAATAGCCTCCATCTCTTAATGACTTCTCATCCATAACTCTCAAAGCTGTCATGCTGTCCTCCACACCGTTGAGTCTTATTAAATGAGGGTGATGTTCTAAAACAGAATAAGGGAATATCATCGGAAGCCTTATAAGTGCTTAACAGTTGTGGATGAATGAACAGTGTAGTTAAAAGTTTACACATATGTACATTATGCATGAGGCAAATGATCACTTTGATGTTTTTTGTTTTGTTTTTTTTATCACATCCTTTTGTTTCTTGTTCTTTTCCTGTTCGTCCAGCAGATGGTGCTGCTGATTTAATCCTAAACTTCTCTCGTGAATTAACATTCATCACACACACATAATGTTTGCACTGGAATAAAACCTTCAAACCAAATTCGTCTCCCACTGAGGTGTGATTTTTAATTGGACCATATATAAACATAAAGATGCGCTCCACTGATGTAAGCACGACCAAAATAGAGCTGGAGTAGGCATAATAATGAAGCTTTAAATACAGTGGGGAGGATGTGGAATTATTTGAAACAGCCTTTCAAAAAATTCACAGCGCAATCTTCTAATTATGCTTCCTCTTGCCCGATGAATCCCTTTTTAAAATTATCTCAGAGCCTCCCACACTAATTTTCCAGACCTACATTTTTAAAGTAAAAACATGCTGAAACCATGCAGCTACATGAATGCTTTATCACTACAGTGACACCTTAAGACAAACCCAAAGTCATCCATGTAGGGTAAACAGTGACCTCGTTACCTGTGTTATGACCTGCCATGCAGCTTTAGCTTTTTATGCAAAGTCTGCACTGTTTGCAAGGCCTGCTTTGCAGGTTCGCGCAGGGCTTTGTGCACATATGCTGACATCTACGTCAGCACAACAGGCCACACGGCGACCTCATGGCAGGTGGGTACATTTAGAAACACTAAAGCAGGGCCGGCCCGTGGCATAGGCCGTATAGGCAAATGCTAAGGGCGCCGTCCATCAGGGGGCGCCACGCCAGTGCCACAAATGTTGAAAAAAAAAAAAAAGTTGGTACTATTATTTCTAAATACAAAAAATAATCCCACGTTAATTAAAATGCAAAGTAAAGCTTATTTAATAGAAATATTATTTGTTACAACATTACACTACACTGCTGATGTAGGGGGGCGCCACCTAAAATCTTGCCTAGGGCGCCAGATTGGTTAGGGCCGTTTCTGCACTAAAGTGATACTTTTCACGGGTTTTACTTCCACTTATAGTGGCTGTGGTTATTGTAGTAATACTTAGTCTCGTTGCATATTATATTTACATATCCATGCTGTCGTGATGCGCCAGAGCATTTGATTTCCCTCAGTGTGACTGCAAGGAAAAGCTTCACGCCCGTTGGGGAGAAGCAAGAGGAGCAGCGCAAGGGGCCTCTCCTTAAACCCTCTACACTGCTCCCATCTACTCACAGCTTGCAGAAAAATATCACCAAAGATCAGTTATTTTCAACAGGTGACTCACTCTCCCTCCATCCATCCATCAATTCGCTTCCGACTCTAAAAGTTCGTTTAAAGACAGCTTTAGTAAAAGCTCTGAACACACTAAGAAAAATATGGACTCCTATAGCTTTCCAATTCAATGAAATGCTTTTAAAATTGCACACTGACCCTGCAACAGTGGGCTGTAGGTCGCAATACACAGTTTGCAACGTGGATACGTCATAAACTCAAAAGGGCTTTTTGTTTAACCAATCAGATTTGACTGATGATTTGAAACAATTGAAACTGAAGTCGATTTAGATAATGGTTCAAAGGTCAAACCTAATGGCCTTAACTGTCTGTTTCACATTAAACTCCGCAGCAGTAAACATGCACGAGCGGTGTGACTGGAGCGAGCTTAAAGAGCTTTGGGCTAAAACATGACAAGTTTCATCTGCTATTGAATAAACTGCGTACTTTTTAACCTGGGGTCACTTGAAGCAGAGTGAGACTTCTTCGTTTCCCCTCTGACCATCCACTCACTACAGGTGAGCACTGTTGCCACGGCAACGTTTGCTTTTCCCCCCGCTAAGCCTTCTCGCGAGACTCCGGGGCAGAAAAGAGAGGGAGAGGGGGAGAGAGGGAGAGGGGAGGCTGCCTGAATGATCTCATCCCTCCAGCAGCTGCATACCGCAGCGAGGCAAAGCCGTAACTTTCTATCAAACTTCCAAGTTGCCGTTCAGAGGAAGACGTCGGGCCGTCCTCGGTCTGAACCGGAGCCAGCACGTTTTTTTTTGTGTGTCCCCCCCCCCGCGAGGGCAGCCAACAGAGCTGCTGCGTAGTTTGTGTCTCGGACTTGGAGCACCTTGTTACGAGTTGAAACAAAAGGGGGAGAGGAAAGAAAAGCAAGACTGCTTCGTGTTGTGTGACAACCACTATGAGAAAAGGTGAGTGGCGTTACGAAGTCATGCGCGGGGGTGCCTGCACCCAACATCTGTGTGAGGAGGACAAAGCACATCCTCGTGCCGTGTGAAGGTGCAGGGGGAAAGCCAGTGCGCAGTGTTATTATTGTTATCAGAACTAATGGGGCTGGCGTGGTGAGGCTATCAGGGTGGCTGTCAAAACATATCCGCTGCGTCGCCGTGTATGTCAAGGGCATTGTTCTCTGCGATTCACAGGTGGCATCGTTCAAGCCACATACTGGAGGATATACGTCTGTCACCACCCGGAAAAAAAATTCCGAGGTGGCGTATCCCGCGTTGTTGCCACACGAGAAGGCTTGTCAGGCACCAGGTGATTGCCACATCTGTCTTGAGAGATTTGTTTACAGCCTGCCCTGGCTCAGCATCTGCTTGTATAGATTAGGCCACCAGGGCTCTCTGCAAGTCATGCCCCCCTCCCTCCACGCTGAGTATCCAGTGCCATTCTTGATGAGATTATCAGTTTATTTCTGCCTGATGTGGATGTGTGGAGTGCACTCCAGCCTCTGTGTCCAACTGTGCTCACATAGGCTGTTTTGGAATACAGAGGGCATGCACACCAGTGCAGTGGTGGCAGCAGCGCGTGTGAATAGGAAAGATCTGGTAATGAAGGGCTGGGAGTTTTGTTTTGACAGAAACAAACAGACCTTAACCTTTCAGAGTTTACTTTCACAGGGCAGCGTTGTGTCCAGAGGGGGCCATGTTTTACAAAATATCAACTACAGTGAAACGGTTACAAGTAAGCAGGTAGGGAATTAAATACAATAGAGGGGTGGCTGCTCATAACTGAATCATGGTGTGTGAGTGTGTGTTACAGAAGCACTGTTTATTGCAGTTGGACAACTTGAGTCAGGTGAAAAAGGGGAAACTTTGTAATTTGGTTTTGGGCAAGGATCTGGGATTTTTAGCATTCTTGATAAGCTTAGCTGACCCACTGTGGCTGGCATGACTGATCATACAGTTTCACTTCCACTTTTACTGCTTAGTTACTCTCAGTTTTGTCCCTTTTTTGCCTTCTGCAAATACATTGGATTGCTTCTTGCTTTTTTTCTATTGTTATTTTTATTATAGATGATGAAAATGATCTTGTTGGATGGGAAAAAATACTTGCTCTGTTTTATTTCTTTCACTGTGTGGGCCTGTAACGGTTCATTTGGGGATGAGAGGCTAGTTCAGTTGATAAGATCTGCCCAAAGATTTGGATGAGACTACTTTCAGAATAGATAACTCTGCTTGTTTAGCAGAGTCTCTGCTTCTCATGTTCCTTATCAGCATACGTAGTCCTCCCCTTGTTTTATTACTGGAGGACAGTGTTGCTATTTTCACTTTGTGTTGCATCTCTCGCACAACAATTGTTGGTGTTCTTCATTCGTAGTAGGGTCTTTTATAGAAAGCACAAGGATGCTTCCTGTTGCTAAATTGAGCTTATGTTATCATTGTCTCCTGTGCATTGGCTCGGAGGGAATAGTTTGAGCAAAGATAAAAGGGAACAACAAGAGAAGCATTGTGCTGATTTATAATTTGTTACTCTGGAATGTATGCGCTGCAGATATGCTAAGTGGTCTTCATAACATGCTTAAATTAACTGTTTATATTATACAAAGAAAGATGAGGTTAGTATTATTATTATTTTTTCATTAATGCTCAGGTTCAAAGTGCATCAGCGCTCTTAAAGTCGATACTGACTGAACTCTATTCATTGTGGTGTGGTGACTCTTACCGTCACAAAGTCATTTCTGAGACTGTGACGCCTGCGCACACACCTCTCACTGGACAGCAAAATAAACAGACCTTGAGATGCATCCCTGGATAAAAAGTGGTGTACCAATGTGGTCAATGTCAGTTACAAGGCAGATTTTTCCCCCTCCTACATGAGTCACTTTTTCCTGGATTTGACAGAAGCTTTTGTAACAGATTTGACAAAAGAAAAAAGAAAAGAAAGGGGAAGCTTCCTCAGTTTTTACGAGTGAAGTGTCTGACTGGTATTAGTCAGCTCATAGTCAGAAGTCAAATGACCTGATGGTAACATGGCCTCTGATGATTCTTCAGAGTGAGTGTCTTTTTTTTTTTTTTTTTTGCTGGTGACTGAGAGGTTGATGAGTTTGACTTTAATGAGGTGTGACTGTGGGTCTGAATTTCCTGCTTGCTAAACTGTTGGAATGCTCTGTCTTTGTCTGGATGGGACGGTCCACTTTATACCACCCGGCGGAGGAAAGCAGAGGGCTCGGAAGCCACAATAGTGATGATGTAATCCCCTTTCAGAGCTCTGTCACAGAGTAAATGGGTCCAGACAAAGAGGAAATCACTCCCTTCTCCATCCCACCTGACGCAAAGTTTCTGACCTCGCAAAAATGTGCAGCGGTTTGGACGCACTGTAATTATTGGTGTGGGAGATTGCTGACCCTGGGAGGCTGAGCGGTGGGACAGGTGGAAGGTGTTGCAAGCTGGCTGGGCTCTGACCTTGACTGAAGGGTTTGGTCTCCGTTTGGTGGTCTGTCACAATATACACTGCATTCATAAACTAAAGAGACCTCTCTGGTTTCTGTCATCCTGCTTCCAACTCTCAAACCCAAACCAAAACCCACAGTCATGCCGAGATCAGACGCTGTGTAATTCCCCTTTTCTGCTCCCATCGAAC